TACACATCAGTTAGGAATAGTAACCCAAACCTAAGCCTGTCCACTACCACATAGTCAGTACTTTGTAAAAACCCAAACCTAAACCTGTTTTACTACTACATCAGTCAGTTTCTTGTGCCAAGCCTAAGCCCGGGTACTTCAATATCATTCGGGACTTGTAACCAAGCCTAACCTTTTCCCCCTACAAAAAAACAGTCAGTACTTTTAACCAAGCCTAAACCTGGCCAAATACCCTTCCCTCAGGGCAGGGACTTAAAACCAAGCCTAAGCCCCCAAATACAAACCCGTCAGTAAATGTAAAACCCAAACCTAAACCGGGAAATACAACACCAGTCAGTACTTGTAACCAAGCCCAACGGCCACTACAACAACCCGGGCCCGTACTTAAAAACCCAAACCTAAGCCTGTCCCACTAAAACCCCTCAGTCAGTAAATGTAACCAAGGGGGGCCCAAGCCGTCCACTACAACATCAGTCATTTCTTGTAACCCAACCCAAGGGCCCGGGGTATACAAAACATTTCCCGTACTTGTAAGCAAGCCTAAGCCTGTCCCTACAACAACAGTCAGTACTTGTAAAAAAGCCTAAGCCCCGGGGGCCCCTACTAATCATTTGGCACTTATAAAAAAGCCTAAGCCGTCCACTCAACCTCATCAGTAAATGTAACAAAGCCTTTTAACCTGAAACCCCTACAACACCAGCAATACTTGTAAAACCAAGCATAAACATGGGGCCCCTACAACTCAGTCATTTCTTATAACCAAGCCTAACCTGTCCACTAAAACATCAGGGCAGTAAATTAACCAAGCCTAAGCCTGTCCCCTACAACAAACAGTTTAGTTTCTTGTAACCAAAACCTAAGCCTGGCCACTAAAACATCAGTCAGTTCTTTTGAAACCAAACAAAGCCTGGGCCATTTGGCCGGGATCCCTCAGTACTTTAACCCCCAAACCCAAAGGGCCTGTCCCACCCCAAAAACAAAAGGGGCAGTTTCTTTTAACCAAAACCCAAGCCTGGCCACTACTTTTCATCAGTCAGTACTAATAACCCAAACCCAAGCCTGTTTTACTACAACATCAGTCAGTACTTTGTAAACCCAAAAATAACCCGTCCCCTCAACATCAGTCAGTACTTGTAACCAAACCCAAGCCTGGCCACAAATACAAACATTTTTTAGTAAATTCCAAGCCCAATCCGACCCCCAAATTTCAACATAGTATTACTTGTAACCAAACATAAGCCCGACCCCCTTTCAAAATCATCCCGTACTTGTAAACCCAAACCCAACTTGCCCCTTAAAAACATCAGTCATACTTGTAACCAAGCATAAGCCTGGGCCCCTCTAACATCAGTTTATTCCCAGTAACCAAGCATAAACCTGTCCATTCAACCCTCAGCAGTACTTTTTAACCAAACCTACGCCCGTCCACTATAATAGCAGTCAGTACTTTTAACCCAAACCTAAGCCCGGGCCCCTACTACATCAATTTAGTACTTATTACCCCAAATCTAAGCCTGTAAACTACAACATCAGTCAAATAAATGTAACCCCAAACCTAAGCCTGGCTTTCTACAACAAACCCGTCAGTACTTGGGAACCAAGCCTAAGCTTGGGCCACTACAACATCAGTCGTACTTGTAACCAAGCCTAAGCCTGGGGCCACTACAACATCCCTCAGTACTTGTAGCCAAAACCTACGCCTGGCCACTTTCAATATCAGCAGTACCTTTTTAACCAAACCTAAGCCGTTTCCCCTAAAAAAATCATTCCCGTACTTGTAACCAAAAAACCCAAGCCTGGCCCTCCCAAAACAGTCCGTACTTGTAACCAAACATAAGCCTGGGGCCCCTATACTTCCCGTCTTACTAGTAACCAAGCATAAGCCCGTCCCCTGCAACATCATCCCGTACTTTTAAACCAATCTAAGCGGGCCGCTAAAACACCATCAGTACTTTTTAACCAAGCCCAAGCCTGTTTCCCCTACAATATCAGTTTAATTAAATTGTCACCAAGCCTAAGCCTTTTTTCCCCTACAACATCGTCAGTACTAAATAAACCCCCCATAAGCCCGTTTCCCCTTTCAACATCATCAGTCTTGTAACCAACCTAAGCTTGTCCACCCACAACAATTTAGTACTTGTAACCAAGCCAAGCCCTGTCCCCTACAACACCAGACAGTACTTTAAACCCAAACCTAAGCCTGGCCACCCACTAATCAATCAGTCTTATAACCCCAAACCCCAAACCCGTCCCCCTACACAAATTTTAGTCAGTAAATGTTAAACCAAGGCCCAAAACCCCGGCCACACAACATCAGTCCCGTTCTTGTTCCAAAATTGAGCCTGGCCACTAAAACATCATCAGACTTGTAACCAAGCCAAAACCCGGCCACTAAAAAAAATCATCAGTCTTGTAAAACCCAAACCTAAGCCTGGCCACTACCCAAAATCAGTCAGTACTTTTGGGAAAACCCAAACCTAAGCCTGGCCACTACAACAACAGTCAGTACTTGAAACCAAGCCTAAGCCGTCCCCTACAACAAACAGTCAAATAATTGTAACCAAACCCCAAGCCTGGCCCCCCAAAAAACATCAGTCAGTACTTGTAACCAACCCTAAGCCTGGCCAAATACAACAACAGTCAGTACTTTGTAACCAAGCCCTAAACCTTTGGCCCCTACAACGTCAGTCATACTAGTAACCCAAACCCAAGCCGGCCACTACAACAACCCCGCCCCGTACTAGTAACCCCCAAACGTAAGCCTGGCCCCCTACAACACAGTCAGTAAATAGAAAACCCAAGGGGTAAGCCTGGCCCCCTAAAAACAACAGTCATACTTGTAACCAAGCGAAGCCTGGCCACTACCAAAATCAGTCAGTAAAAAGTAACCAAGCGTTTAAACCTGGGGCCCCTACAACCTCAGTCAGTTTCAGGAACCAAGCCTTAAACCTGGCCACTACAACATCATTTAGTACTTGGGAAAACCCAAACCTAAGCCTGGCCCCCTAAAACATCATCATACAGTAACCCAAACCTAAAACCTGGCCCACTACAACCCCAGTCAGTAAATATAACCAAGCCTAAGCCCGGCCACTACAAATCGTCAGTACTTGTAACCAAGCCCAAGCCTGGCCACTACAACAACAGTCAGTACTATTTAAACCCAAGGGGTAAGCCTGGCCACTACAACATCAATCAGTACTGTAACCAAGCCTAAGCCTGGGGCCCCTACAAAAACAGTCAGTACTAGTAACCAAGCCTTTAAACCTGGCCACCCCCAACCCCATCAGTACAATTTAAACCCAACGTAAGCCTGGGGGGCCCCTTTACAACTTTATTTAGTACTTGAACCAAGGGGTAAGCCTGGCCAAACAACATCAGTCCGTATAGTAACCAAGCTTAGCCGGCCACTACAACATCAGTCAGTAATAGTAACCAAACCTAAGGCCCGGCCCCTACAACATCAGTCAGTACTAGTAACCAAGCCTAAGCCGGCCCCTACAACATTTAGTCAGTAAATAGTAACCAAGCCTAAGCCCGGCCCCAAACAACACATCAGTACTATAACCAAGGGGTAAGCCTGGCCACTACAAAACATTTAGTTTCTTGTAACCAAGCCTAAGCCCGGCCACTACAAAATCCCTTTAGTACTGTAACCAACCTAAGCCTGGCCACTTCAACAACATCAGTAATTGTAACCAAGCCCAAGCCCGTCCACTACAAAAATCAGTCATTTCTAGTAACCCGCGAAACCGGCCACTACAACAACATCAGTACTATAACCAAGCCTAAGCCTGGCCACTACAACATCAGTCAGTATAGTAAAAAAGCCTAAGCCTGGCCACTACAAAATCAGTCAGCTGTAACCAAGGGGGCCTTAAAACCTGGCCACTACAACAACAAATAGTACTAGTAACCAAGCCAAGCCCGGCCACTAAAAACATCAGTCAGTACTAGTAACAAAAAACCCAAGCCGGGGGCCCCTTACAACATTTAGTCAGTACTAGAACCCAAAATAAGGGCCGGCCCCAAAAACAACAGTTTAGTAATTGTAAAACCCAAACCTAAGCCCTTTCCCCTAAAAACATCAGTCAGTACTTTGTAACCAAGGCCCAAGCCTGGGGCCCCTACAAAAATCAGTCGGGGGATAGTAAAAACCAAACCTAAGGCCCGGGGGCTACAACATCAGTCAGTACTAGTAACCCAAACCAAGCCTGGCCACTACAACATCATCGAAATAATAAACCAAGCCTAAGCCTGGGGCCCCTACAAAAATCAGTCCCGTCTAGTAAAACCAAGCCAAGCCGGGCCACTACAACATCAGTCGTACTAGTAACCAAGCCTAAGCCTTGGGCCCCTACAACATCAGTCAGTTTCTAGTAACCAAAACGAAGCCGGGGTTTACCAACAAGTCCCGTACTAGTAACCAAGCCTAACCTGGCCACTACAACAACATTTAGTACTAAATAACCAAAGGGCCCATGCCTTGGGCCCCAAAAATCAGTCAGGAATAGTAACCAAAAGGAAGCATGGCCACTACAACAAAGAGTTTAGTACTAGTAACCAAGCCAAAACCTGGCCACTGCAACATCACTCAGTACTAGTAACCAAACGTAAGCCTGGCCACTTTAAAAAATCAGTCATTTCAGTAACCCAAACGTAACCTTTTTCCCCTTTCAACCCTCAGTCAGTATAGTAAAACCAAACCTAAGCCCGGCCACTACAAATCAAACCGACTATTAAAACCAAGCCTTAAGGGCCCGGCCACAAAAAACAACATCAGTACTAGTAACCAAGCCTAAAAACCCGTCCACTACAACGTCAATTTTTTTTAAAAATCTTTTAAAAAAATGGGTTTTTTTTTTTGATTGTTATGAAAAAAGGGGTTTTTCTTTGGCATTCAGGGCAAGGAATATTTAAATTTTTTAAAAATAAAAATTTTGTAAACCAACTTGGATAAAATTTTATATTAGTTTATTTTAATTTCAAAATTTGTACAGATTTAGACCTGTCAGTTTAAATAGGCATATAGTATTTATGGAAACAAATTAGTTGAATGCACAGAAAATTTTTTTAAATTTGGCGATAAATTATTTGGATCAGGGAGTCTACATATGGGACTGTTTAAAGCCCCCCCCCCCCCAAAAAAAAAAAAAAAACGGTTTTTTAACTATTAAGAACGTTTGTTGTTCATGAATTAAAAGGAGATATTTTAAAATAGTATCCCCGATGGGATTAAACCCTTTAAAATGTTTACTAAAATTTTTAAAAAAACCCCTTTTGGTTTCTTCCTCCGAACTTTTTTTTATTTTCTAGAGAACGTAATATTGATAACTTAACGTGTCATTTCCCCTCGTTTAACGGAAAGGGAAAAGGGCTCATTGAGCTTTTGGCGTATGTAAATATTTATGAACAGTGTCATACTTCTGGGGATTTAATTTTTCCCGGGCAATAAAATGGGTCCAAAGGTTCAGTAATGAAGTCGTACGTGGAAAAACAGGGAAATGTGTAGATATCATTTTGAAGAGGAGATTTTTAAAAAAAAAAAAAGGTTTTGGAAACGTGGGGGTATGCCCCCTTTAACAATTTAAACTTTTTAAAAAGCCATTCAAATTTTCGGGACTGTTAAATTTTTTAAAAAATGTGTGGAAAAACTTTAAAATTTTAAATTTATGATACCCCCATCACAGTTACAAAGTTAATCTTTTCTGTATGTATTTCCCGTACAACCTGCCAAAACACAGAATGATTTAAAAAATTTAACAAAAACACCTTGAAAAAGATCTGCCAAAAAAAAAAAAAATCGCCTGTCATCGGCCGGGGGCAACTTCTTAGGAACAAAAAGGGGCTTTTTTTAGAGAATCGGAACCAAACTAAAGCCCCGGCCCCGGAGATCCAGGAGAAAAGGGCAGTTGCTTAACTGATGCAGTTTTTAAACTTATTGTGGGCCCAAATTTCAAAAAAACCTTTATATTGAAATGATAAGGAACGGATCACTTTGATATATTTATTAAATTTTATTTTTTTTATAGAAAATATATTTTTAAAAATATATATATATAAAAATAATATATATTTATATTATAAAAAAAATTTAAAAAATATATATATTTTTATATATTATAAAATTTTTATATATTTATATAAATATAATATAATATATATATATTTATATAAAATATATATAATTATATATATATAAATATATAAAATTTATATATATATATATATAAATATTTTAAAAAATATATAGAGATATAGATATAGATTATAGATATATAAAATTTATAATTTTATATTTTATTATCTTTCTTTTCTTTCCCAAAACACCGGCCGTAAACCCACCGAGGGGGGTGGGGGCCAAAAAAGGAAAAAAGAAAGTTTCTCCTTTTACATTTTTGTAAATTTACAGGGAAGAGGTTTCTAGGCCCCCTTTCTCCCGGCATTTTAAATTCCCTTCTTCAAACACGCATGGGGTTACGGAGGGAAAAATTCTGTTCCACTTCCCCAGGAGATTTAAGAGGAAATAAACAAGAATAAGAACTAGAAAGAAAATAGAAGAAAACCCAGAGGGGTGTGTATATATGTGCTTGTACATGAAATGTGTAGTGTGACCTAAGTGTAAGTAGAAGTAGCAAGACGTACCTGAAATCTTGCATGTTCATGAGACAGAAAAAGGACACCAGCAATCCTACCATCATGTAAAACAATTACAGGCTTTCGTTTTACACTCACTTGGCAGGACGGTAGTACCTCCCTGGGCGGTTGCTGTCTACCAACCTACTACCTATAATATATATATATATATATATATATATATATATATATATATATATATTAAAATATATATATATATATATATATATATATATATATGCCGAATAGGCAGAACTTGCGATCTTGGCTTAAAAAGCAACGCTCATCTTGCCATATAGGACAAGTGAAAATTTGTGTATGCAGTAATTTCTCCAAAATCATTCTGAACCTAACGAAAAAAATATATTTCACTGTGTTTGTTTAGTATTAAATTATTGTAAACAAATCTAAATTATATTTAGTTAGGTTAGGCTAAAATAAATTGCGCTCATTATAGTAAGGTTAGGTAAGTTTTCTAAGTTCCTTTTGGTGCAAAATTATAAATTTTTACATCAACATTAATGAAAAAAATATATCTTTAAACGTAAATGAGAAAATTTTAGAAAGGACTTAATTTTAAATGAGTTCTTCCTAATTGACCAGTTTTACATATTCGGCACGACATATATATATATATATATATGTATATATATAATATATATATATATATATATATATATATATATATATATATATATATATATATATATATATATATATATATATATATATATATATATGCAATAAGATCACAGTAAACAGGTGATTTCAGAATATGCAAAACAACCACTCTGAAAGAATAGAGAAATTCCAAGCGCTTTCGTGACTACTCACATTATCAAGGAACTATGAAAGTAAAGCATCCAAGGAATGTATGTAAGGGGTCTGGCCAACACCTCAAGATAGAGTCAAACTGTCTGTTTTCTCATCAATGTTTTTAAGAGCTTTACGAATTTGTAGTCCTGAGTTCATAGATGAGGAAATATCCAAAATTTATGAAATAGCTAATGATTTAAAATACCCAAGAAATGTAATTGATAAATCTTTTAAAGTTGCTAGAAATACTTTTTACAATCCAAAAAGATACAACCAGCCTTATTCAACTAAAAATATGTTGGTTCTCCCTTACCATGAAAACTTGGTTGATATGCCTTCTCTTCTTAAGACTTTTAATATTAAAGTTGTATTCAAAAATCTTGATACAGTAAAAAAAACTTTTGGTAAAGAATTCCCCCCAAAATGCTGATGGATGTGTCTATAAGATTCCTTGTAAAATTTGCGATTAAGTTTATTACGGTCAAACTGGTAAAAATCTCGAACTAAGATTAAAACAACATAAATATAGCATTAGAACTGGACAAGATTCCAATGCTCTATTTATTCATTTAAGAGATTTTAACCATCCAATTGATTTTCAAAAAGTTGAGAAAGTAGTATCAAGCAAGTCCATAGTCGACAGGAATATAATTGAATCTTGTTTCATAAAAAGCAGTTTTGCCAATAATATGAATATTTCCTTTGGTTTATATAAATTTTGATTCATTTATAATTAATAGAATTTGGGAAGAATTTAATAATACACTGGACAAATAATAATTTTAAAAATTTTCTTGGGTAGAATAGTTTGTTGGTGGGTTGTGCAAAGGACCTGTCCAGTAGGGCCGGCGCGCGTCAGGTGTTTAACCGTTGTGGGATCTGATAGTGAGGTGTTGGCCAGACCCCTTATATACCTTCCTTGGATGCTTTACTTTCAAAGTTCCTTGATAATGTGAGTAGTCACGAAAGCGCTTGGAATTTCTCTATTCTTTTAGAGTGGTTGTTTTGCATATATATATATATATATATATATATATATTATATATATATATATATATATATATATATATATATATATATATATATATATATATATATATATATATATATATATATATATATATATATATATATATATATATATATATTTATATTTATATATATATATATATTATATATATATATATATATATATATATATATATATATATATATATATATATATATATATATATATATATTTAAGAAGTGAGCCGTCTCCCACCGAGGCAGGGTGACCCAAAAAGAGAGAAATTCCCCAAAAAGAGAATACTTTCATCATCATTCAACACTTTCACCTCACTCACACATAATCACTGTTTTTTCAGAGGTGCCCAGAATACAACAGTTTAGAAGTATATACGTATAAAAATACACAATATATCCCTCCAAACTGGCAATATCCCAAACCCCTCCTTTAGAGTGCAGGCATTGTACTTCCCATTTACAGGACTCAAGTCCGGTTATATAAAATAACCGGTTTCCCTGAATCCCTTCACTAAATATTACCCTGCTCACATTCCAACAGCTCGTCAGGTCCCAAATACCATTCGTCTCCACTCACTCCTATCTAACACGCTCACGCACGCTTGCTGGAAGTCCAAACCCCTCGCCCACAACAATTCCTTTACCCTCTCCCTCCAGCCTTTTCGAGGACGACCCCTACCCCGCCTTCCTTCCCCTACAGATTTATATGCTTTCCATGTCATTCTACTTTGATCCATTCTCTCTAAATGATCAAACCACCTCAACAAACCCTCTTCAGCCCTCTGACTAATACTTTTATTGACTCCACACCTTCTCCTAATATCCACACTCAGAATTTTTTGCATAATTTTTACACTACATATTGCCCTTAGACAGGACATCTCCACTGCCTCCAAGCACCTCCTCACTGCAGCATTTACAACCCAAGCTTCACACCCATATAAGAGTGTTGGTACTACTATACTTTCATACATTCCCGTCTTTGCCTCCACAGATAACATTTTTTGCCTCCACATATATATCTCAATGCACCACTCGCCTTTTTTTCCTTCATCAGTTCTATGATTAACCTCATCCTTCATAAATCCATCCACTGACAAGAAAACTCCAAAATATCTGAAAACATTCACTTCTTCCATACTCCTCCTCCCCAATTTGATATCAAATTTTTCTTTATCTTAATCATTTGATACCCTCATGACCTTATTTTCTCCCTTTTTACATACACTCCCAAACTTATCCACTAACCTTTACACAGTATCATCAGCAAAAAGTAACTGTGACACTTCCCATTTCGTATTTAATTCCCCTTAATTTATTCTCATCCCTCTCCCGAACACCCTAGCGTTTACTTCTTTTACAACCCCATCTATTAATATATTAAACAACCATGGTGACATTACACATCCTTATCTAAGACCTACTTTTACCGGGAAGTAGTCTCCCTCTCTTCTGCACACCATAACCTGAGCCTCACTGTCCTCATAAAAACTCTTTACAGCATTTAGTAACTTAACACCTATTCCAT